AAATTGCGCAAGTCCTTTCACTCGCATTGTTCCGGCAATTCCAACGGCAATATGCGTTATTCTGGCCATTTTAATTCTGTGAACAACAGTGAGAGATAGAAAGTCGTTTTCCGATATTCAATATCCTCGTCGTATATCGGGAGCTGCACATTATAAAGTGAGACATTTCCATTGGTAGCCCGAGGTTTACGAACCGGAGGTGCGTATGTTTTCCTCGCAGAGGCCATAAAACGCGGGAAAGTTTTTTTTTCTTTGTTTTGCTCGCTGAGGGCACACGCGTATACATAACGCGCGCAGACGCACAAACATATCGAACGCCTCTTTCCATAGAACACACACACAGAAAGGGAAAACACCGAAGACCAACTGGGCTACAATGGCCGTTAAATGCGTCACCATTTTCCAATACAAGGCTATTAAAATGTTTTAACCGGTCTGCACGCGCCTTCACTCGATTCTCGTTCGACGGCGGGCCCCCTTTATATTGTACACGCTGCGCATAGATCACGTGGTTCGCTCCTTTTCTATTCTCATTTCTATTCATTTTCTATTTCCACTGCTTTTCACCCTCGCAAAGATACGTGCAGGATCGAAAGGCCATAAAGGGCCCTTTTATGGGTTGTTGCGGGCTCTATCAAGCCACCCGAGTGTATACATCCAGTAAGGCTCAGTGGGGACAGACGAAACCCAATAAGAAACTACGACAACAAGCAAGGTGTGTGTTGCGCCCTGGTATATACACGTATACTGTGCCTCTGCACTGCTTCTGCCGGCGTTGCCCTTGAGGCAATAAAGTTTACAACATTGGGATCCGATGGATCGTTTTCTTTCTCGCCTCTTCAAACTCGTCGCGCGTGCAGAGTTTGGGTTATTTTGCGGTCTCTTTAAGGGTGGCACACGCGTTGTCCCGGAACGCTGACGTGCATGGCCCGCGTCGACCGTTTCCGTGCTGTCCGGGTCGTTTTCGCCGAATGGCCAATATCGCGCCGAAATTGTCGCAAGAGTACTGCATATACACGGATGTCCGTTGTAGGGACGGAACCTTGTCGAGGAATCGCGTTTTTTTTGTAATTTATTTCACGACTGTTATCTCACTCCACCTGATCAGTTTGCTGCAGAAGATTATTTTTGTGTAGGTATGGGTGATTTAACTATTGCATACAGTTTGTTGAGATCTTGTATTTGAAAGACGAAAAAGTCGTTCAAGCTATATGACGTACGCGGCAAGAGTTCCTAGCATGCGTCATTTGCGAAAAAAAAAAGCCGGACCACAAACTTTGTCTGGCAACGCACAGCCTCTTATCTAGTGTTTAGGCATGTATTCTTTTTTGTACATACGTGGTCACAGCTGAATTAAACACTTCGTGCATTAACAATACAGATGCTATAGCATTTTCCGTGAAGACAGTGTTCAAGACACTTTGGTTCCCGGCTGTACGTTTCAGTGACTTTTGCTTGAAACTAACGAGCTTTCTGCATTTTTCCTTAACATTGGTATTTCTCTCTCTTTCTCGCTTTTGCTGTTCTTGATCACAGGGAAAAAAAAGTTACGTACGTTGGCGTACTACGCTTCTTTAGGAGCACATAACACTGTGGTTACAGCGGTAATGAAAACTGCAGATAATGAAGCGAAGTAAGTTATAAGGGACGTTAATTGTACTGTTTTAGAGCTAAGTCTGTTTTAGTAACTTGGTAATATATGTGAAGAAAGTAAAGTGGGCGAAAAGATGACATGGCTTCGTTATCTACTGGTTTTCATTAAAATTATCAAAGGTCTTCAGAGGTCATGTAAGGTCATCAAAGAAAGAAGCCCTTAGAACTTAATCCCTCTTGTCATCGATTACAGCATGTAATAGAGGAATATGGAGCACTACACTGTTCCTTCTTTTCATATATCTTGTTCTCATTTGACTTGCAGTAGTATTGCAACATATATGGTTGCTTCTCTAATATAGACGTAGCCAACCACTTTATTCCTGTCGATCACCTTCTTTTGGCCCAAGTCCAGTATTCCAAAAGATTGCCGCGCAGGCTTAGATCGCCTGCCTTTCATACGAAGCAGCAGTACTTGTTATCAATGTTTTATCTACACGACAGTGTTCATAAGACGCCGTCGGGGAGGCTCTTCCTCGTATAGGTGACTATGCGTTTATAAAAGGTACCGCGATAGACTCCCCAACGCAACCCTGGCGCTGGCGCGGCCCCTTCGGCATCGCACTGTGTAAGATGTTTATTTTTAAGGGCTACTTAGGCGAGCCTGATAGGTCGGGTCTTCAAAGTAACCGACCAAAATCTGGGAGTGGTGTGTTTATTGTCCGCTCAACGGCCTGGCTGACTCGGCGCACTTGAAACACGCCTCGCCTTCCGCATATACAGCATAGCTGCCGTGCAAGCTATATAACCTGAAGCCAACTTAAAAAATAATTATTATAAAAACAGACAAAAACATTTGCATCCGTGGCACCCGGCCACTCTCTGTGTGGCTATAGTTTGTTTGGAAGCCAATGCCTATGTGCTTTGTTTTCGCCTGTTTCTCGCTTCTGACCTCTTGGAATATTAATTTCCTTAATATGCTGTGAGAGGAGAGAACTAAGAAGGAGCCACCGCATAGAGGCTCTTAAATTTATTTTATGCGAAGTTGCACTTGTTAAGATTACGCCTGCATTTTAACCTTCTGTAAAACACTTATCCAGAACCTGAATCGCAGTTCTTATAAGTTGTGTAAGATGTTGACAGGCCGCCTTCGCTCATACCGAATTCGCTATGTACGGTTTATAGCTGCACGCTCTTGTGAATCGATTACTAGCTAACGATTACTGTTAATGGCCAACTAATCGAGAAGTTTGCTGACTTGAGCCCTTCTGCAGGTTTCGAGAGGCGTTGTTGTGTTGAACTCCTGGTCGATGGCAACAATTTGTGGTATTTTTTTTTTTTTGCACTGTTACCAAGGAATACAACTTGATTGATATGTGGGGTTTAACGTCCCAAAACCACCATATGATTATGAGAGACGCAAGGCGTACAACTAAATATAGGTTAATTCCACCCACATCTCTATTGCCCGTAGCTGGTAGTCTAACCCAGATCTTCGTTCTGAGTGACGTATACATTGAATTTCACATATCCTTTGACTCAATCAATCGATTGATCGATAGTTCGATTAATCAATCAATCAATCATCATCAATAGTCTGAATACGTCCACTGCAGGACAAAGGCCTCAGCCATGTTCCGCCGGTCAACTTGGTCATGTGCTCGCTGCTGCCAATTTATACCCGCAAACTTCCTAATGTCATCTGCCCACCTGGCTCATCTGCCCCCTAACCAGTTTACCTTCTCTGGGAATGCAGTCAGTTATCCTTTTAATCAAAACGTCGGGCTAAACTTCGCTCTGTCTCTGAAGATCTTTGCACAATACACAAGCAAAAATTGGGGTGTTTCAAAGGCTACGAAATCTATTGCTGATCTGCGAGCTGTAAACAAATTTTTAATGAAAAATAAACGAAATGAGTCATCGGTTTTTTTATGCCTATTTCATAACTCGAATTGGTTACTGCGGCTGATATCCCCGCCTTTCATTTCGTTTCTCGTAGTCAGGTGAGGAAAGTTATTAATAGCATCACTTTGAGACGCGCTCTCAGTGACAGTTCTCTAACAATTGCAATGTTGCTGGCGTGACTTACATGGCTCAAAATAATGACTACTGTTTTTTTATATACATTGGTAACGTCCATCACCGGCTTTTTTTCGCAATAATGGGTGAATTCTGTTTATACGGCAATTTTTAAATCTGATTACCAATCGTTGCGTATTTCGATTTTCGTATTTCCACTTACAGGCCTCAGCATGCAATTCATGACCCGCTTCAAGTGGATATATATCAAACGAACTCGTAAATGAGCAAAGAAACAGGATTATACGCCTGCTGGTCGAATGTATTGTTTTCTTGCACCAATGAAATCAACAATTCCCCGTGGTTGATATGAGTTTAAGAAAACACAAGGGGACATCGAAACGTCTATAAACCGTGTTCGACATTATGACTTGTAACATACAATTCACGGACGCTACTATGAATCCAAAGTATCGGGACTGACTGTCGTGATTTCTGTGCATCATGCCTTTTCTCTCTTTGTTAATTGGTGACTCCTGAAGAAACTACTCTCTATGCATGTGGATTTGAAAAGTGGTAAATGCTAAACAACGGTGTTGCAAGAGGTCAGAGGATAAGCTAAAAAAATGTAGTGCTACGAAGATTTGGCGTAGGATGAACAATGTGCAAGAACAATGCGAAATATAGGGAGAAGATACTCGCAAGCATTCGCCGCAACAATTATACTTGTCAAAGTGATTTTGCAAATGCAGCGACCTAAGCACGTAGTATGCATAGTGTTTGTAAACTCTTTTTCGAAACCTGACATTCCATCGTGCAGCGATCACGTATTCGAAGCAGTTTTCTTTGACAGATATGTAAGTTTCTTAATGAAGGACTAAGATGCAGAGTGTGATTGCTACATCACGAATTGATGCTCGTTTATATTCTTGTTTGTAGGAATAGACATAAACAACCTTAGTTAGACTGTTACAGTGGGAATAAGTTTTGTTTATATTCACCTAATGCTCTCTAGAAGCTATTGCTAAATCTATAGTAAGTATTTGTGCATTGACTGCAATAGCCAAAAGCTTTGGAATAATTTTCGTTTGTTAATTTTTTGCGTTCTACACCATTCTGTATACTTTCTTTGTACCCCATTGATAACCACAGTCTCTTCTGTAGCCAGCAAGATAGGTAGTTTGTGTTCTTGTCTTTGTTTTTTTCGATGAATACTTGAGCTGCCCTAATTAACATGGAACTCCTTTAAACGTGTGTGTACGACTAAGTTGGAACGACGTCAATACATTCAGCTATTACATGGAGTGCTCTGACATGTTTGTTTGTTGAATGTGTATGACTATTATAGAGTGAAATGGTGACCTGACTTTCCCTTTCTTATGTTTCAGGGTTGAACAGCTACATCGCACGTGAGTACACTGTCCAATACATCCTTTCATCAGCCTGTGAGCTTTAACATAGCTGCCGCAACAGTAACACCAGAGAAAAACCTTCGATAGCAAATTATGTCGTAGCTTATAGTTAAGATGACAAGTGTGTCGTATTTTGATGCAGTCGATACTGGGTACCGATACAAATGCGCGCCTGGATTCAAGTGTGCTGGGTGCGCGAATAAGGTTTAACAGTTAGACTTACTTATGAGCATGGTTGTAACTGAACTTTCATGTTGCAGTGTGATTACTGCTGCTTGACGCATGTGCTCGACATGGTAATTCACACTGTTAATGTTAGGTCGCAGAGGACTCATCAGTATGTACAGCTCAAAACTCTGTCGGACATTGTAACGGACACTGTAAGTGCTAGCAAGTTGCAACGTCGTCCGTCATATTACACATAGTAATACACTCGCACGTAATCAATTGAGTGCATCTTTACGAGAAGAACAAATTCTTCATTGATTCCTCTTATGTATTCATATTTTTCAGCACAAGTTCTTTCTCGCAGGTGTTTTAGATTTTATTTTTTTACGCGGATTTATCATACCCACTACAGATCTCGACCGAACTTTATAGAAAACATTGATCTGCATCTGTATAACATATGCACGCATACATTGTATATAAAATTCACGACCCATTTTATACTGGATGGTGCACTGTCAAAACAAATTTACGGAAAATGCAGAAAGGTGTTTCATACAGAGCGGGCCAATAAAATGTGCTCATTTATTTCACTAAATATTCAGCTGCTATGCAAATGCCTATAGTCGATTAAATTAAACGTGTATATCGCGTTCCTTGAAAACACTTCGCGTATTATGAAAACGATCTGCACGCAGTAGTGCCAATTTGTTAAGACTTGTGTTAAAAACAAGCGTATGTGTGGAATACTATACTACGAATTTTTTCAGCATCCTACAACTTCGCCTGTGAAACAGTGTTTAAGAAAAGTGGCGTCCGTAACGGCTTGCGTGCATGTTTGTGTCTTGAAGTTTTGTATCTTCCCGGCATTTCGTCATACCGTGTATCGCCTCTCTCTTTTCCTTAATATTATTCACAGGAAGTCCTAGATCCCTGTTTGAAACGCCAATAATTATTGGTAGAATAATCAGCGCATCGTGAATTGAAGTTAGTGATTCGGCCCTGTCGCACAATCAATGAAGAGGATTATAATGTGCTTCAAACAATGAATTTCCACGCTACATTAGGCTATTATTTGAAAAAGAAACGCCGGAACTTTCTATAATGTGATAACAAAACGTTCATGGCGCTGTTTCATGTATGGCATGTTTTTTTGTAATTGCAACAGCATGTCCCCATTTACGTACTGCACGTACGCAGGCATAAGGCCTGCTATACGTTGATGAGATGGGCGGGATGTGAAGAAATATGTGCTATGGCCAAATGAAATTCAGTTATCGTGAATCCACGTAAAAATGGTTGTATATTTGCATTTATGAGTTTTGAATCAATAAAAAAGTGAGTTCGCGGCCGAGTAAGAAGTTGTCGGACGAGTAAAAAAAAATTGTTGAGATGGCTACACCTTTAAGTTCCTTGTCGATGCAAAGTATGTGTTAACACAATCATGGCGTCCGCCAGTTGTTAACAGTCAATTGCAAAAGACATGCATACGTTCCTCTCATTTCTTATGGCTATGACAAGACATTTTTATAAACTTTTTTTGCTCATGTATATATGAACATACATTCAAAATAACAAAATTGGCATGTGAAAGTATAACCAGGGCAGCCACGCATCATAAGGCGTCTGTGTTGTTGTTGTCCTTATATTTACATGAATGACTCTACAGAAAAAAAGCTACCTGAACAAAATAACGCAACAAGTTGAATGCTTTGCTAAATGGGCGATGGCCTGGAATACGTTTTTTGTTAATTTTCCTGCTGGAAAATTGGCATTACACTACCAAAGGCGTTTGGCTTTTCGAGCAACAAATACAGTAATTACTCCGTCAAAAGTCCAATGTGGTACCGGGAAATATTCTCAAAAAAATTAAGCAACATTTTCCTATTATTTAATTACGTAACATTCACATCCCCTCTCTTTAATAGAGGAAAATGGATTGCTATAAATTTTGATTCCTCGCACGTTAGGTTAACGTATACACAATATATTTATCTCATAAATGCATGCTTGAAGTCAGCGTGGGCAAACGAAAAAAACGAAACATGCAAACGTCAAACGAAACATGCGCCGATAGATACTTCGTCACGTTACTGTAGTTTAAAGTTTTTAGGCCATCACCACAGATGCGAATTGATGCGAAGGACATCGATCTAGATGTAGAACTTTTTATGGGTCACTACTGCAGCTGCAATATGTACTCGTTGTTATTATTTCAATCCTTCATAAAAAAAGGCTGTAATTTTTTGTGTTTGGGCACTTGAGAACTAAAGTATAAAACACAAGCCCCTGTATACGTTCTCGTGATCGGGCGTTACAAGATTGCGATGAATTAAGTCATGATTATACGCGAACTTCTTAAATGTAGCTACGTTTGCAGGCTTGCATCGTGAGGTCACTTTGAGGTTTACTTTTACGTTTCGCCTATAGAGAGAGACCTTGCTTGTGTTGACTTCACAGCCATTACGAAAAGTTTAGATGTGTCGCTGAATAAAAGTGACGCTTTAAAAGTAGCCGGCCACAACGGCTAATATTTACGTCGCAAGACATTGCGGCTGCGTTTTAGAAGCCGTGGTGTGAATAGTAACTAATCGCTTCCATGTGTGAGTTGGGCATATCTACGCGATCAGCTACGGCGTCATTCACCAGCAAAAACAAACCAGCTAAATTAGGAGGAAGCCAGCATATGATACCAGCAAATAAACGATGTTTAGCGAATCAATTGATGACGGAAAGAGTTGCAAACTCGGTCACGTCCTATATCAGCCAAGCTGCTTCTAGATGTGAATGTCATCCTGTTACACCATAAGAGAACCCTTTTGGGAGTCGAACGTACAGCGAATATGTAAGGAAAAACGTCGTTCCTCTTACCGTTCTACGTCTACCGCGGTGTGTGTATCCAAAATATCCCGAACGAGAACCAGGTCGCGTCTTCGGACATAGCTTTCACTTTTGCATAGAGAGCAACGAGACTGACTTCGACATCGTCCACTGGCCTCGTCTCGGCGGACGCCTCGTGTTCGGTTTCTCCTTTATTATTATTTTTTTTCTTCCTTCCGAGTTTTATTTGACGGCGCCAATAGACCCCCGAGTTGTCACTCAAAGCTGTGGTTTTTCGTAAAAGCGGACTTCTATACGAACTCTCCTTCGTTCTGTTTTCGAAGCTCGAAAGACGAGGACTCTAAAGAAAGAAGAAGAAAAGAAAATTTGACAGAGAGAGAGAGAGAGCGAAACGAAAATTGACGATGAAGGCCATTGCTGAAAGGTGTATGTTAAGAAAAAAAAAGAAGAGAAAACTAGCAGCACCTAACTGTGCTAGGACTCCGTGGTTATAAACGCGTAAATTCTGCGAGGGCGTGTGCGTTACTCGGTTCGTGTCGTATACGGGCTCTGTTTACATCTGCAATCTCTTCCAGTGACGTCGACGACGTCGTTTCCGACCGAATGGGCCAATCACGGCAGGCCAGAGGTGTTTCCTCTCGCTAGTCAACGCGCCGTTCTATAGCCTGGCTGTAATGCCCCTCTTCCTCTTCGCGCCCTCTTTCTCTCTTTCGCCTTCACTGGGATCTTCTCGCTCGTCAGCACTCCTTCTGAGCTTGCTCGGCAGAGTGGAAAGGGCAGAGTGTCAAGAAGAAGCTTCCCGCAACCTTCAAGTTTCCGTAGTGGCAAAAAGTAAACTAGAGAAATGAACACGTGACGCGGCCTTAATGGCAGCTCAGGGAACGAACACTCATGCACTAGCCTCCATACTTTCTTCCCGCACACTCTCTCATCGAACAAACAGTGGCGGCTCTTTGTTCCAGAGTTTGTCTTTCAGTGAAACCGCTGCGATTAGACGGAAAAGGAAGCACGTGTTGCTTTTTTTCCCCAGTCAATCCGGCGATGTGAGACCTTCCTCTGAACACATGCCGCTGCTGAATGAGTGACGTAAGTCCTAGTCTAGGTGATAGGAACATCGCCTCACGTTTATGTTTGGCGGGCGCTTCAATACGACCAGGCTGAGTAGTGTCCGGTGGCTTAGACGTGCTATTTGTTAAATGGGACCGCATCTTTGAAAATAAATGATTTGATATGTGATTGATTGTCTCTTTAGCTTGTAATATTCAAGGAAAATTTTCGTGAGATATACAACGCGGCGCGTTGATGTAAGCCGTTGCCAGCACTAACTTGAGAAAACATCAACAACTCGCGTATCTCCCACTTATTTTGCTATTGCTCGATGGCTGGCACTACACCACATGTTTTCTGTTGACGAAATTGGTGACCCGGTACGACGCATGACAAAATTATTGAAATCGGTGGACAAAATTGCCCTGAAATGTGGCTGCCAAGCAGTAATTAAACAGCACTGAAAGTTCTTTGTTGGGACGATTCCTTAGGCGCACATTTTCTACACTTCTAGGATAGGTCAACCTTTCGTCTGACACCTGGTAGTCTCACTGTTCGTGAGACAAGTCGTCTCACAAATGTCCTTGCCGATTCCACAGCATGTCAACTGCCGGGTGCGTGTGGGTGTAATGATGACAGACCCCTCGTGGCTTTCTTGAGCAGTAGAGGATCCACGTCGGAGACGTCTGTTGTTCTTGTCTCGAACACCTGCAAGCGAATACACATGTAAATTGTATATTGAGAAACGCGTTGGGCACTGAATTTTGTGGAATTGAATTAAGTTAATTAAACACTACCAATTCGTTCGTAGTATTTCCAATCTCGTGAGTTACACAAGAGGAAGCTCCACGGTCTAAGAATAATTCGGCAGTGTGAGGAGACGCTCGTGCATTCCATTTGACTGCGTGCCATACATGTGCAACAACTGTACGCTTTCGTAATCTCTGTGACAGGACCGAAACATATGCTAGGCAAAAAAAAAAAGCAA